GAAAGTTTAAAAGGATCTCAAGACAGATCATTGTAGGTGTGGACATTAAAAAGTAGAATTAATTTAAGCAAAATTAATAATTTTAGTTCAGAAGAAGCAACTTTATCCATAGGTACAGAGACAGCTGTGAAAGACTGGCTGCTTCATCTTCAGCATGGCATACTTAAAAATAAATTAATGCAAACTGCTTTCCATCTGACCAACAGAATACTATTACTGTTGTAATTTTGTTAGAGAGATGCCTAATAAAGATACATGTTAGAAAAATGTAAAAAAGCATATTTATTTGGTACCTATATCCATACAGTGTTTCACAAAAAGTAGTAAACATGCAAGGAAATTAAACTCACTCCAGTTGCTGTAAACATGTTGACCCACAGGTGACTTCATTTTGCCTTCTAGCAGAAAAACTATCATGCTTGGATTGCTAGCTTTTGCAGGAACTGCAGAGAGAAATTTTCTAATCTTTATTTCTCCTTGAATGTTATCACAGCACACTGCCTAATTTAACCAACTGAATGCCTGTGAATTAACAGTACTTTTAATTACTTCAGATACAATCTATATTCAAGCATGCTTTTCATTTTATATTCATTTTTCTTCCATTCATTATCAAAGTCTTTCTTCCCACTAGAATGTTTATATTTTAATTTGTGCAGGCTTTAACAATATACTGACTCCAATGCTGTCCTAATTAAATTAAATTTACTTGCATAGATTTGAACAGCAATCCATGCTGACCTCAGAAGTACTCCTTTTTCTTCTTTCCAATATATTTTACCGTCTATCAAAGAATTATTTTCCTCAGGCCATACTTCTTCAGAGACAGTCTTTGTGCAACTAGTCCTCCAATACATATCCAGATTAGTATTTCAGCTTTAATAAAATTACAGTCCAAATCCTAAATGGCCTGCACTTTTTAGTTCATAGATGTTATTTAGGTCACTTCAAATAAAAAAATTGGAGAGCAGGTTCTGACCACACTAGTAAGAAAGGACTTTGATGTTTCAGATAGGATTTTTTTCTCCACAGTCATCATTCCCAATTTTCTTCATAATTAAAACACTACTCAAAAATGTCTTTCCAAAATGGTCAAAGAATTGAACCTGAAAGTAAGGCCCACCTATGGCTTTTCCTTTCATAGCACATCAATTCAACCCTGAGCCAGTACTTTCTCTCCTACAGTGAAAGATACCCTCACCTTTTGCATTCTATTTTACCCTTTCAAACACCAGATTATTCTAACATTTTAAATTATTTATTTTTTAAGATAAAATGCATATACTTCTGTTATCACCATATTGCCTCTTCTGTTATGCACAGGTGCATCAAATACTTGTATTTTTCCCTGATACATTTCTTACACCTCCTTCTTTCTTACTGCGGATTGTCTTCTTCCAGTGTAGAATCCTTTCTAAGTAGGCTTCTCATATATAATGCCTAGTTAAAGAAAGCTCTCAATTCAGCTTTCTTTCAAGAGAAAAATTACGATCTGTGATTGTACATATTAGTAATCTCTCTTCTGATTTTATTCAGAAATATTATGATGGGTTGAATCAATTAATCAAGACTTAATATTAGTTTGGTTTTATTTTTCATATTTATTTGTGAAAAGTGGATATAAAATCATATCAAGGTCAAATGCATAATAGTAAACATTCCCTGCCTTTAAGAACTTGCATTTAGGAGTCTATCTGATAGATGGTTTAGGACAGGGGGGGAAAAAAAAAAAAACAAACCACAGGAAGTTCCTCCTTTATTTTTTGTTTTCTCTTGCACTCGGAACCCTCGTTATGGGCCAGGATTTAGTTATGTATATGCTGTGCAATGGTTTGTATCACTATGCCAGAAGCAGAGTCATTGCTGTTTGGTGTGTAACCCCATCACACAACTACTCCCCACCCCTCAAAAGCCAGTGGGCTGATGGCCATACCCTTAGGGAACACATATGGAAAAATATGGCATCCAGTACACACTTTCTGTGTGTTCCAAGAGCTTGAGCTAAGACAGTCAAATTTCTCCTGGTTTCCTGAAGCAACGTAGCTGTTCTGCAGCTACACTCATGGCCAATGTGCAGCTGAATTCCTGATGGATCACTGAGCCTAAGCTTACCTGAGAGATTTCCACAGTACATTGGAGATGCTTCTGATTAGAGTGTTACACAACCTATCTAGCTAAGATGGAGTGGAACATCCTGCTAATACTGCCTGGAAGAAATAGGCCATGTAACTTGGGCACTGCCAATTGCCAAACAGAAATCAATTAAGAAATTCATGTACAGAAAAAAAGAAAATCAATGCTCATTGACATGGCCCAGTGAGTGGATGACATGCAGAGTACAAAGTAGTACTGACATATATTGATAGAAACAGGAATGCAGCTATTTGTGATCCAGACAGGAGGAAAACAGTGTGCATAGCTCTGCCAGCGTGGGACTGGGAACACATGCCATGCTGAATGGGGCAAATGGAGGGACAGAGGGAGAGAACAAACTATTGCTCCTGCTGTTGTCACCCCTCCACATGTGGAATTTTAGACCAGATTGTTTTAATTTATGTTTCCCTTAATTTTTTTCATGACAAGCTTAAAGAAATACATATATACATATATATGCATATGAATCTACAAATAAACTTCCTTTGTACTCTATGCACTCTGTCCATATACACACACAACTCACTGATGTATTGACACCTTACTGATGGGGCTGGATTCTACCTATTAAGTTTGCTTATAACATAACTCAGGAAATCAGGGGTAAAAAGACATGCTCCTTAAGACATTCTGATTCAAATAATTTTTTACATGTTAGTTCCTGTTTAGTGGCAGAAGCAAAACACAGATACTGCTATACACTTTTTTTTTTTTAGTTGCTTTTTAAATAAGTTCTTTCCTCTCTATTTTTAGACTAGCTAGTCTAAAAACCCATTACAGTGGGAACTGTAAAATTCACAATTTTCACTGATCATTTAACCAGCAGTCAGGTTTTGGTGCAATAATGTATTCATGTTTCAAGATTTAGCACAGACTAAGAATACAATTGCAATATTTTAGAAGTGTATATCAGTTGTTAATAAAGGAAATATCAGATCTCTTACCATTCAATTACTGTCATTATTTAAAAGAATTAAGAGAGATTCTTAATGATACTTTTTGGTTACATAGATTAAAACTCTTACGTATCATTACAGATTAAAAATAGATATTATACTTAGTCTGGTAAAATTTTTACTTGTGATCCTGGCTCAGTAAGAAGCTACAAGAATTGAAGAATGTGTTGTGTGCAGCAGCAAGACAGAAATGTCAGAAGCAAGAGAATACCCCCAAGAGCAGAGCTGCAGGCAACAGACTCACTCAGCAGAAAGCACACAGAATGGGCAGGAAGATAAACATTTAGAAGCAGAAAAAAAAAAAACCCTCAACCAGGCACTTTAGAGACAGAGGGAGAAAGGAAGGGTAAGGGCTTAAAGGCAGGAGGCTAAATAAATGACACCAGGAGCTGAAAAATCCCCGTCCTGCTTTAAAAGAAAAAATAAGGTCATGAGACAGCACAGCAAGAGAAGAGCTGCACTACTGACCAGCAGCAGGGCCAGCATTTGAGAGGTACAGTTTCTTTGGTTAAAGAAGAAGAAGAAAAAAAGATTAAAAAACTTTAAAAAAAAAAACCCCAAAACCCAGCAAGGGTCCTTCTGACGGGAACACATGACTGAAGGTTGTTCTTTTCCAGAAGAAACTTCTTGAGTCTGCTATTTCTGACTAGTTTCAGGGCATCACACTGCATTGTTCTGCAGAAAACATAACATTATGGGGTAATCAGATTCCTCTTATATGGAAAACAATATTTCAGAGGAAAAACTCTTGAGTTTGATTTTAAATGTTTCCAAAACACAGAAGTTTGTTGGGTTATGCAGTACACACCAGTTTATAGGTATGGTTGCATCAAGGCCAACAGCATTTCTCTGATTTGAAACATACATTATTTAGTTTGTAAGAGTAGATCTCAAGCTACTTGAAGCATCTTTTGTAATTAGAGGTAATTGCAAGAAGCATATGCATCATAAAAAATACTTCATATTGCTTTTTTCTTAGATCAACTGCATTTTTCCCCCACTTGTTTTCTATTGTACTGCTAAGTGCCAGTTTCCCTGTTGGAGACAATTTATCTTATCAAAATCCCACAGGATAATCTGGTTTGTGCAAAAGCAGAACAGATAAAGAAGCACTGAGACTGTCATATGTAATTTGCCTACGTAATTTTACTATTTAACTTTTTAATGTTTTCAATATCCTTTCACCTGTTCACCTACACAAAGTTATTTTTTTCCTTAGAAGTTAATACATTGCATTTTATTTACCTGGTAGGAATTAAATAACAGAGGAAAAAAAAAAAAAAAGATTTTTCTGGTATCAAATACTTTATTAAGAGGCTAACTGAATTAATAACCTGTTACATGAAAAAACAGTGTTCTTCCAAATTTGGATGCTTGCAGGTTGCTAAAAAATGCCTTTAAATTGACACACGTGTCTGTACTTTAGATAAAGTAAATTTTATCATTCCAATCTTGTCTTAAAGCTCATTTTAAGCAATCTTCCAGTCTAATTAGCATTACCTTCTGGCTCCTTAGTACCATCCTTTTGAATGCTGGCATGGTTAAAACACTCAGGTCTACTTGGTTTAGTATAGTGTGGCAAATGGCAGTGAAATATGAGGGCATATGGTGTATAATTACAGAACCATATGGATGCCAGTAGCGATAGTCAACAGTATTTGAATGAAAGACCAAGTTAGAGGAAGAGCAAGAAAAGACCATCATATATAATCATAAAATGGATGTATATAGTTTCTTTACAGCTGAAAGAAGCCTGTACATGTCTGTGCTTTAATAAAGCAAAGCCTGGATAATCATATAGCTGTAGAGTGCACTCTACATTATTTTAGTCTTGGTTTGGAAACGTATAAACCCAAATTATTAAGATGAGTGATGCAAGAAATCACTTACCAATGCACATAGCAGATCAACTGCTTCCAGTATGAGTTCTTGGTGGCCAATGCGAGTGACTCCCAGCTCCTCAAGCTCTTGATGAGTGATGTGTAGCAGCTGTTCCCCATTGATCTTTTCTCTTTCAAAATTTTTTATGTATTGTTGGAGGCAATCATCAAGGCCTATTTAAAAAAAAAAAAACAAAAAAACAACAATGCATATTCAGAGAACAGAGACAAACAATCATAACTCTGTAATTCACAAATATAGAAATTTCTTGGGAATACGTGTATAATTCCTTGTTTGGATCTACTATGGAAAATGTGCAAAAAAATTATAATTTAACTTTCATAGCATAGCACATAGTGCTAAAGTGAACAGTTCGTATTACTGACATTATTTTCAACATTCTTAGATATTTTAATAGCAATTTTAAACCTTCGTAGTATCAATTAGGGAGACAGGAAGAAGTACAAAGAAGCACTGAGAGTGACAATATAGAAAACCTTTTTCTTCTGATCCCAAAACCTCAATATAAGTTTAGCTTATGATTAGGAGCATATTCTTCCTGGTATTCCTCTTGTAGGACTCTTCAAAGTCGTACAGTGTGGCTATCACTGATTAGAAAGAGTGGTTTTTGGGCCCAGTAACCACTAATTCTGCTACACCCAGTGCCTTTTTTGTTTTGTTTTAAGTCAAACTATCCAACTTTCTGAAACTCAATACCATACAAGTGGTTTTGTTACAAAACCTTCAATTAATAATACAATATTGCCCACACACAAAGAATTATTTCATTTCACCCTGAAACTTGATATGGTAACAATAACAGATTTGGTAGCTGCCCCATTATTCTGTTTCTCAGACCAGAGAAGGAACTGATTAACAACATAAATTGAAATATTTTTCATTCCTTCAAATCTGTTTCAGAACCACATATGCTTTAAGTTTCCTGTTTCAGAACCACACGTGCTTTAAGTTTCAAGCTAGATCCATTGGTTGAACACAAGACTCTTCAGTACTGAAAGCTGGGGGAGCTTATGTTCCCTCAAGGACTCTGGCTGGAATTGTACTGGATTCAATGCAAACCTGATATGCATTATTTTCTGGAGACCTACAAAAATTCACCTTCAATAATTTCATCTACTAAGTAGAACAGATTCTCAATTACTTGTGCTACAGTGAAGCAAGTAAACCCAAGAGCCATAAAAAGTACAGATACCCAGAAATCACAAAAATAACCAGTTTGGGCATTTAAGGAAGACAGAGCTTTGAAATACCATAATTTCTATTAAATACACATGAAATTACCAGTATGGTTAAATTACAGAGAAAATATGTATGTAAGCACTAAGAAAACACAATATAAATAAAAGGAAAGCAATAGACATATGAACAATAATTGTTCTCATTCGTCTGCCTAAAAGTTCCTACATGTGCAATAGAAACAGAAATAACCAATAATAATCTAAGAAATGTTGTCTTAATTTCTTGGATTATTAATGTAAGGAAGCACATAATTCTATCATGTACCTTAGTATCTTTTTAAAGATAAATTTGTAGTTATTTTAATGTTTTTTTGAACCACAAAGGTCCTTTGTAAATAATCAGATTATATGGTTTGGCAATGATGAACCAAAATATATTCCTCTAAATCAGTACAGGAACGGTAAATGAGTTAAGCAAGAGGATGAAAGAAGTTCACCAAAAACATATTAGAAAACTACATTACTATCTGTTTCTCCATTTATAAGCACACCTTCTTAGATAATATTCTATTAGACTGAATTAAATAACAATTGGGTTTTAAATTGTAATAGAAAATATTAGTGAAGCATAGTACTAATATGCAAGACCCCAGCCTGACTGAATGCTGGGGTTAGTCAGTGTTCAGAGGTAAATGTCTGAAAGTTATAGGAGCACTTGGTCAGAATAATCAAACCAATGCTGAGGAAGTGGAAACTGAAGTCAGAAAATGTGAAATTTAAAACTGTCCTGTAGACAAGAAGAGTTGATATTGTCTATATTTTTCTATTCTCATGTTTTATAACAGAGTAACTGAGAAAGAGGGATCCGACACCTTACATGGGGCATGCTGAATATCGCCATATTAAGTCTCAATTAAGTCAGTATAATTCAGTTGAGACACAAGGACTGTGATGACACAAGAACTGGATAAAACCAAACACTGGGTTTGTCTTCTGTTCCATGAATACCAGGGGCTATATCGCAGTTTTCATCAATTAACTTATTTTTCAAAATTATTCAATTATTTCCTGTATAAACTAATAGTCCTAAGTCATAATATAGTGCTCATTTATCATTTTTGATGTCATATTTTATATTGTTATTCATAATTATGAGGTAGTGGGGTTTATTTATTTATTTTTAACTCAAATCAGCAGTCTGTTTGTAGAAACAATTCCACAGCAAATCCCAAACCCCACATATTCCATATTTGCTTTTAGTGAATATTTGCCTAGAACTCAACAGAAAAAGTCACTGAAACTGATACCAGAAATTAAATTATTTTGAACAACAAAAGAGAAGCAAATCAATTGAAAAATACCAAATGAATGTGACATCCTCCGAAACCTGTGTAGCCAGTTGTATGAAATGTGCCTTTGTGCTCGAGAGAATGTATGACAGAGAGCAAAATAGGAGATCTGTGTTATTCCTACTGCTGGGTAATAGCTCCCCAGGGCATCTTTAGAAGGCATTTACTTAATGGTGCAAACAGTATGGCAGTTGACAACAGAATCCAGAAATATATCATTAAAGGAGCAGGCTGGCTCATAGCATGACAGCATCTAATAAATACACACGAAAAAGGAAATATTTGTCCATTACTCTCTGCTCCTCTGTCTATCTACGAGCCAGGTATTGTATTCCATTCCATTGTTTCTTTTCTTGCCATATAAAATTGTGTTTGATAAGTGTGAGGTGTTACAAAGCCAGAACTTAGCTATCAGGAGTTTCATTCTTTATTATCATGGTTATAATTGCTTTTAGCATGAAAAAAAATAAAAAAATCAAAGATGCAATTAGAAAGAGTACAGAATTAGACCATTTTGACTCACCAAGGTCAAATGGAATATTTATTTCCTCAAGCCACTTAGGCCTCATTAATACTCTTTATGCAATTTTCTCGATATAATTTCTGTTTACAGATAAGACTTAAATTAGTTAAGATTCATAACTACAAAGAAGGGGCATTAACTCTGTTTTATAAGTAAATAAAATTAAACCCCTATTCCCAAGTTACACAGTGTCAGGGTTAGGCAAGAAACAGAGGCTTGCAGTTCTGTTTCTGCACATTCTGACTTTTTTGGGGGGTACAGTTTGTAACTGACATATCCTTCATAGTGCAATAAATTAATTCAAGCAAAAGGGTTTAAACATGGATTTTTTTTCAAAAAAGCTGAGATTTAACATCTCTGATGAGACATGAGCTACATTGTCTTTTTCCATTGCATCCATCCACATTCCATCCGCATGGACTAGGAAAACTGTCTCTTTCCATTTCTAAGTAAAAGGAATCTCATTCCAGCCACATGGACTAGGAAAACTCTCTGTATTCGAAGAGTAGAGGAAAACAAGTGTCTCCAATATGTTTACTACAAACTCTGATTTTTCAAACGAGGCATGTAGTAAATTGCCTAAATCAAGGAGATATAAAAAAGAAAGGAGGCGGAAGAAAGGTAGGGAGAAAGGGCAAGAAAAGAAAAGCCAGTTAGCTTTAAAATGTTTATTTTCTAAAATGCATAATTAAGAAAAAAGGGATCATTAAAACAAAGCAAAAAAACCATGTTATAAAAGTAAAATCCCTGTGGAGCTAGCTAAAATCAGATTTAAGTATTAAGCCGGAGCCAATATTACAAAAGAGATGCTACATATTGTGGGCAATAAGACCCACTGAGATTAAATTGAATCTTTCCACTGATGTCAACAAACATCAAGTTTGTTTTGCATTAAAAGCACAAACCTAGTTGCCATGTTACATAAAGATCTGTCCCTTTGTCTCCAGGATTAGACAGGGGTACTGAAAAAAAATGCCTCTCAAACTAAATGAAGGAAAAGCACAGGTTGCTGCCCTCTCTGCAGGAAGCTGAATTATGCAGACAGGGCAGCTCTGACAGGGGACAAGTGTGGTGATGATAACTTCCTCGTGCCATCCATCACAGAAGAAAAGTCATTTCAAAGTTTAAAAGTCTGCCATTTGCAATTTTTCATAAATCTCTCCATAAATTACATTTATTTTCTTCTCCTTTTTCATATATTTTAACGGATTTTTGTTACTTATCGTAAAAGTGTGGTGGTTTTGTAATCTATCCTAAAAACTCCTGACCAAATGATGGTTTTGTTCATACTACATTGTTATTCCCAGAGGAAAACTGACAGCAGCTGGCTCGAACAGAACGCTGGCTGTGAAATGGAGGGGTTAGGAGGAGGGCAGACAGGAAAGGTCCTTGCCAGTTCAGCTTGTCACAAACATGACTGCTCTCACGAGGTGATTCTCCTGACAGAAGAGGGTACACAACATGATACGCTCTTTTCTAAAAATGCAACGTTGCTCATTCTGTTTTTAGGGTCTAGGATGAAAGAGAAGGAAAAAAAAAATAAAAAGAGAAGGAAAACAGCTCAGTGGAAATGCATTTACCACTCCTGACTTCTGCAGTTCAGTCCTGACGCATGGAAGTGCTAGAGCCCGGCTGGGCAAAGAAGTCAAACTCACTTTGACTAAGGATCTAAGAATGTAACTTTTTTTTTCCTAAATAAAATATTTTTTTAAAAAATAAAAAGCACATAGCAGAATAGTAAATTCACAATTGCACAAAGGCTTACACATAACAGCAAATTTGAGGTATAGATACAAGTGTCTGCGGAATCTGGGTCCAAAGGACAAAACCTGAAAGTCAATGGAATGATCTCTGTTCAGAAGAATTACACTGTGGTCTGCCAAGAGCAAATAAATATTCCTATTAATGTATCACATTTGACTAATAAAAGTGACACAACAATCATATCTCTGTTGTTGCAGAATGGTGCCTTGTAAAGAAAAAAAATAAATCAATAAATCAAAGTGAAATGGGGACAAAATCAATTTTCAAATGTTGCTGTGCTAGGTGTTGGAGGAAATCCACTAAAGCTGCCGTGTCCTTCAGTGAAAATAAACACAAGT